TCATGAGAAGTTTAATCAGATAATTCAATATTGTTATTAATTCTATGACATTTGACTTTTATTGACAATCGTAACGAATCGAATATTTTATTGACGGAGATATTGTTTTAAATTTTTACTTATTATTTAATGCCTGTATTTTGTTATAGAAACTAGAAACAAATTTATCGAAAATATTGAATCGATGTGAAGAACTGCTAATTCGTGACGCTACCCGTGACGCCTTCTCGTGGCGCTGGTTTCGTGACGCTCGCCTTACCATTTTACTATAGAAAAAAAAAAGTAATAAAACGTCAGTATAGAAGCTTTGCTTCAAAAGAACACATCTGTGACCCAATCTTGGGATCATAAAGCGTTGTTCAGTATATATTTTGGTTAGCGTCGTGGTTTCGCAGCTTAATGCACAAATCTTTCGCAGCACAAATCTTAATGAAATATTTTGTGTAGTACGAATAGAACAGGAGAGCTCGCCATTTTCAACATTGCCGTTTTTACCTACATTTCCAGTACTAACCTCTGCTCTCCACCTAGATTTCCGTTAGACCGTATACAGTAATCCGCTTTGCCATCTCGACTTCACTCTGTATTAGGTTACACCTAGGAAATTTTTTCTATACCTAGGGAATTTTGAGCCAGCTTAGGGAAAAAGAGATTTTTATTCAATATTTTTATTTTATTCCCGACGGAGACTAGAGTAATGCGAATTACGTCGGGGATCCACCTGGACTAAAGTATATTGCCCTCGGACGATTCTTGGTTTTTAGTTTCTTTTTCTCTCACTGTTTATGTGATTCCCCGTCAGTGACTAGAGTGGTGGTATTTCACGGTCGGGGATCCACCTGGACTAAAAGATCTTAATACTTTGATATTCTTACCCCTTCTTACTATAAATACAACTATAAAATACTTATGAAGAAGGGACAAAAATAATTATATTAAAAACATATGTGTACAACTAGAGAAACATGCTGACCGCTAAGAATCTAGAGAATTATTCTCAAAAGTCAAGTATCTAGCGAGAGAATTCAAACCGCAAACACAGATAATCAAAGATAATAATGGAAATATTATAACAAACCCAGACGATCTCGCAGAGGTATGGAAACAATATTGTGAAATACTATTCTCTAACAACGAGCCAGACACTGATACAGAGAAAAGAAGTTATGAAAAAGCACCTCAAATATTGAAATCATAAATTGGGCGGAAATTAAAAAGCTAAAATCCAGAAAAGCAGAAGGAGAAGATGGAATACCAGCTGAAACACTCAAAGAAATGGGAGAATTAGGAACGAAAGTAATGCTTAGAATTTGCAATGAGATTTGTAATACCGGAAAGTGGTCAAATGACTGGGGTAAACTCACTTATATTCCCATATATAAAAAATGTTCACCGACAGATTGCAGTAAATTACCGATATCATACGCAAGCAAAGTACTTCAAACCATCATTAATGAATATTGTTCTGAAGCTATTTTCTTGTGGCATTTTAAAGTAATTACTATTTAAATGGGAATAAGCCACAATTAAAGGTTAAAGTACGTTTACTGACGTTTCAATTTCCACTTAGGAAATCGTTCTCAAAATACAAACAGTAAATTTACTAATCTAAATTTTCACATGTGAACGGAAATCACTACTTTTAGCATATATCTTCAACAAATTTATTGATTTTGGCCAGAAGTTATAAAAGAGCAAAACCCAATTTCAGTCTCAGTTCCTAGTTATCAGTAATAGCCGGCGATGTTCAAATATAAAAAAAAGTTATGTATTTTCTGCGATAAGCTTAATAATTAATTAATCTTTTTTAATCTATCTAAATTCGGTATTCTTCTTATCTTCGTATAGAACAAAATCAATAAACTAACAATTTTATCAGAAGACCAACAAGGATTCAGAACCGAAGGATCCTGCACAGACGCCGTATTTGTACTAAGACAAATCATAGAAAAGGCCATCGAGTACAATAAACCAGCGTATCTATGTTTTATAGACCTGACAAAGGTTTTCGATCGCATCCAAGTCGAAGACGTCTTACACCTACTGAATAAAAAATCATACCAATCAATATTATATAAACCATCCAAAACATCTACTTCCATAATCGAATACAGGCAAAGATAAACTAACACAGTGTATACTAGAACAAAGCGGAGTCAGACAGGGTGACTCGTTAAGTCCAATTCTCTTTCATATAATAATGGACGAAATAATACAAGCCATACGTAAAGGTCATGGTTACAGAATGTGGAAAAAAGAAATCCAAATATTATGTTATGCTGATGCACATATCTTCAATACAATATTCAAGAAATACAATATAATAATATCAAAAGAAAAAACCAAATGTATGACAACATCTAAAAACCCACTACGATCTAAAATCGACATTGGTGTGAAAATAATAAAGCAGGCAGCAAGATAATAAGAAGAGCATGCAATATAGAAGACATAAATAGATGGGTGACAACACGGAAATATAAGTGGAACGAACACATTAATAAAATGGCAGAGGATAGGATAGTACGAATAGCATCAGATAAGTTACCAAATGGTCGAAGAAGTATTGGCAGACCAAAAAAAAGGTGGTGCGATAATTTAAATAATTTTGGAGGCTAATATTGAAGAAGAAAAAGCCTTTATACAAGAAGAAAGAAGAAGAAGAAGTATCGAGTTTTTCTCTGGAACCGATGACGGCCTGCAACCTTTTTTTGGTGTCTGTTTTACCCTCTGGTTTCTGCCGGCGAGATATGAAGGGATTTGAGGGCATCAAACCCTTATCCTATTTGTTGACTCATGTGGGTACCTACCTGTTTCTTTCCTTATGAAAAACATATTACCACAGTAATCAGGCTAAACCGTCTGCACTGGGTAGGACATGTAGCTCAAGCCGCGAAATCGAACATGGTAAAAAATATTTTAACAATGCAACCGGTGATAATAAGACCAGGCAAACACAAGCTGAGGTGGATAGACGGGGTATTACAGGATGCTGAGAAAATCGGTGTTGCGAACTGGAAAATCTTAGCAAGGTACAGAGCAGAATGGCGTAGAGTTTGAGGGAGATATCCTTTAAGGGCTGTAGCACCGTGATGATGATGATGGTGAATGAGCTCTGTTTATTTTAATTTTATGAATGCCAATTATTTTCATTCATTCTAACAAAAATGGATAACGCAAGAGATCATGGACCTCATGTCACGAAGACATAAAAAAAGCCCAATAGAATACAAGCGAATCAATAAAATCATTTAAAAAACATAAATAACGAAACATTTAAAATCAGAATTTTGGTGTTTATTGAAGGTAAACTAAATGCACGAACAAATACTTACCATGTCGGGATAGTATTATGAGGTTTTTTCCTGGTTTTTCCCTCATAATTTACTATGGAATCACTAACAGGAGAATTTTACTGTCATCATGTCATGTGTTTGTCTGTCTCGAATGAACTATCTTATAAGTAAAGTCGTCCCAGGAGCGCAACTCAACAATATTGGCAATATCATTTTAAAGTCGTCTACTTTAAAATGCATAATGTATGTCTGAATTGTCAATATAAATGAGTCAGATAAAATTAAATTATTAGAAGAATTTTTCACTATGTAACAAAAAACAAAATTTGTTTAATTTACTGTTTGTATTTTGAGAACGATTTCCGAAGTGGAAATTGAAACGTCAATAAACGTATTTTTATCTTTAATTGTGGCTTATTCCCAGTTTAATAGTAATTAATTTAAAATATCACAAGAAAATAGCTTCAGAACAATACTACAATTGCTATTTGGATCGTCAACCTTCGAAAGGAGACGGCGCCATGAGAAGGAGAAGAGTGGTGGTCTATTGGCTTTGAACTCGGAATACCTTGGATTTGATAAGTTTCATAAAGTTTCCACTTATATTCAATAAGTCCAGTTTATCTGAGATTTTATTTCCACTTATCTCGTTGCCAAGTTGGAAAATTTAATTTTTTCTGGGCCATATCCTTGGAGGAAAAAAAATACGTAATTCCTTAACTAATTATCCAAGGAAAGATTGAAAGAAAGAGAAGAGTAGGTCGCAAACAAATGTCGTAGTTACGAAATAAAAAGAAGCAAAAATAACATTGGCGAACTTTTACATACCGCAAAATATAGACGTCTGGTTGAATAATTAATATTAATCGAAAGATTTATGGAAAACAGACTCTCATCCTTTGTACCGAGCAAGTATGGGCATAAATCGCTTTTGGAGCATCAGCAGATTCTTACGGTTTGACAATGACAAAACACGTGCAGAACGTTTGCAAAATGATAAAGCTGCAGCTCAGCTATTACAGATATATTTAATCTTCTCAATGATAATTTACGTCGTAACTATGTACTACCGTCGGATTCTCTTACTGTTGATGAACAGTTATTTCCTTTTAGAGGTAGGACACGTTTCACGCAATATATGCCGCAAAACCTGCCAAGTATGGCATCAAGGTTTGGTGGGTTTGTGACGGCAATAATTCGTATCCACTTACTGGACAAATTATTAATTATTAATTAATAATTCGAAAACGCACTCAAGGTGCACGGCACTGTAAAAAGAAAAATGCTTTTTATTTACCGATATCCTGAGATTTTAAAAAAATTAAATCTTAGATACTACTTTAATTCAAATATATCAGCTATCCAAACGTTAGCAAATAGACTATTTTTTTGTGCACTAATAATACTAATAAAACAAATCTGATAGACAATTGAGTAATAATTAAGGTTCATAATTTATTCTGCAAAAATTTTATTCATAATTCTTACGAAATACATCATTCCATTTCTATTCAAATCAAATCACCACTATCATCCCGGCGGCGCCAGAAAACCTTTTCCCTGGCCTAACAATCTGTCCTCGAGTCCTCGCTGTCTTTCTACGCCACCAACAACACTAACATCAACCCTCCTTCTTATTATTTTGTTTATCCAGTCGGCCGGCCACAGCAATCAGTATAAGTTTAAAATTCCCAAGGATTTGTCGCCATTTCCGGACTATTACCATTTTGATAATGTTGCGATACATAACGGTCAGCGGTCAGTTACTATTATGAGTTAAGTGCGCGATTTGACTGTTTTTATTTTTCAGTTTTTCTATTGGAAATGTGAAATAGGTGAGTCGAATTTGGTGTCTATTTATTAGTTTTATTTCCGTTACTTCAAGTGAATGAACTGAAGACTATGTTATCGTTTTATACCTCTTTTAAGACCTTTTTTGTGTACTAAAGGAATTTTTGAGGGTCAAAAATCTAACCTCCAAATTCTCACGTGTAGTATTCAGGGGCGTACTTAGATGTTAATGCTTTGTCGAAACTAATGAAACAATTCTAGGAAGGTTAGTTCTATCAACTTTGTTGAATAATGGAGAGGAACTTCAACGAAATATTGACATAATGTCCACATTTACTACAAAAATTCACGTACGATAATAATTTTGGGCAAATTTAACAAAAAAAAACAATATGTGGTCAGCTAAATGGTCTAAAATAAGCAATGGTCCATTATTATGTCGTATGCAAGTATTAACATTTCTTTAGTTAGTCTTAAAACAAGTCGAAAACAAAATATTTAGTTACCTTTAACCATTTTACTATGTTAAAAAATTAATTGATTTTACGTTACACAAAAATAAAACTTGTATAGTTCATCCTGATTATATAACATCGTCGTTTTGTCCTGTCTGTCATGAGTGTCATGTATATTTAAGACCTGATTTTTTTTAATTCAGGGGTGTCAGGGTGTGTAGAATCCCCGATTCTTCTCAGAACGTTCATCAATATATTATATATCGAAGATTTCCAATATAATTCTATAACTTTTTTTCAGTGATTCATCTCTACCAGTTACTATGTAACTTTTTCCGTGATAGCGTTGATTGAATAACCCTATTTGGGTTATTCAATCAACGGTGATAGGTATATGTATCTTACTTAATATACTTCTCTCCCACAAATTCCTCGCTTAGTGCTTTGCTATTTGTTGAAAGCTTTTAGGTTACCTACTAAACAGTTGAATATTGAATTTGATTTACTAATAACACGATCCGTCCATGTACCAAAGAATACAGGGTGTTACAAAAAGGTATGTCATAAATTAAATCACGCATTCTGGGGACAAAAATAAATTGATTGAATCCACCTTACCTTAGTACAAAAGGGTACACAAAAAAAGTTACAGCCCTTTGAAGTTACAAACTAAAAATTGTTTTTTTGCATTATCTCCTAAACTACCTGACATTTTGTAATTAAAATGGACACGTTACTTTCTTGTTCTGGAAGCATTTTTCATAAAAAAGAAACAACAAAATCTAAGCGCACAGAAAATTTTTAAGGGAGATGTGCAGCAATAAACCCCCCAAACTTTTGAGTACGTCTAAATCAAATGAATTTTGTGGCATCATTAGTTTAACACATTATTTATAAAAATTTTTTACCTCCTATCACTTTTTTCAAAAGATCACACTTTTATTGAGTTTTTCATTAACCTTTAAAAAATTACGTGCAACTTAATAAATTGCTTAAATGAATTAACAAGTAAAAATGTCTATAACCTCTATAAATATGATATTACAATAAATATTCAAAATGACCCCCATTTTCTTCAATACACATTCGGTATCGTTTTAATAAGGAAAACCGAATGCACTGAAAAATCATATTTTTCTGATGAAATTGATTTGCAGCTTTAATTATTCTAACCCTCAATAAATTGTTGTTCGTTCTCTATTATTACAGAATACACTTTGTCTTTCATAAACCCCCAAAAGCAAAAGTCCATGGGGTTAAGACCTGGACTACTGGGAGGCCAAGAAATATCTTGAAATTTGTAACTTCAAATGGCTGTAACTTTTTTTTTTGTACACTTTTGTACTAAGGTAAGTCGGATTTAATTTATTTTTGTCCCCGGAATGCGTGATTTAATTTATGACATACCTTTTTGAAACACCCTGTATATACGCATATAGACAATTCGATAGTTCGTCTACATATAACTAGTATATACTTATAACTTTTCTAGCCTTATTAGTGGCCACTTGTGATATTTGAGATTGACGGTACCAAAAACTAATGAAAAAATGTTTTTCATGCAAATTTGAAACTTCGATTCCGTCTGAATACCGATGCCTAAGCGATATAGTGTGATCTTAGACTAGACATGAAAGCTGTTTGAGCTTTGTACGTTGATCCGACGTTATCGGCTTCTCGATCTTCTGCAATATGGAATTATTGTCCTGCATTTGATATCCGAGTCCATTTACGAATGTTCCGCAACCAAGAAACCCGTGTTCTTTCTACACCTCTAAGGCCCTTTATTTTGCCTTTAAGGATCAGTTGTAATATTTTATATCGATTCCCCCTTACTATATGTCCCAGATAAGATATTTTCGATTAAACATTCGATGTTTAACAGTCTTTAGCAGTTCTCCATGATATAAGGAAACAAGGTATGCTCACACGCATCTACTTTGAACAGCCAATCGCGTTTACGACCAAAATCTGCCATTTTGAAGGCGGCAATTCAAATATGTACAAAATTGATAAAAAATATCGTAGTTAAATAAAATAAAATAAAATTAATATTATACATTAATCCAATTAACTATGGTGACTGAAATATAAGTAATAAGCAGAATTGGATGTTTAAAAAAAATTGTTAAATTTTTACAAGTAAAATTAATTGCATTTCTAATTAATAATATTAATTTATACATACCTATTCACATATATCCACATCCAATAAGCATCAAATGTTGAAATTTTTCGACAAAACATTCAGATTTAAAATGATCTGAACAGACTCTCGCTAAAATAATTTTTAAAAAATCGAAACAAAACAAAAACAAATTTACTTTTAAATTCCAATACATTGCAAAGTAAGGATAATAAATACTTACCATTTTTGAGATTTATTTTGTCACCACAAAAATCTATCCACTGTTGAGCTCTCTCATCTTTTGGAATAGAAAAATATCGTACTTTTCTATTTTTTGTATTCTCATACAAATTGGAAGATTGTTTAACAGCACAATTTGGCATTATTATAGAAAAACTAACTTTACTCTAAAATGCAAAACACTTAGCTGGACGTAAACAAAGCAGACGTCACGCATGCGACGTATTGAAAAAATGGTCGACTTTGGTCGGCGCAGCGATTTGCAAAAACGAGTCCACCTAGTGAGCATATCTTGTTTCCTTATATCATGGCAGTTCTCTATCTATTTATTTAGCAGTTTCCTTGCTGTCCAAGGTATCTTCAGCATTCGTCTATGAATCCACATTTCCAATGCTTCAATTTTGTTCATGATCGATACTTTTAGCGTCCACACTTCTGCATTATACAAAAGTACGGACCAAACATAGCACTTAACCATTCTTTGTCTTAGTTCTAAACTGAGATTATTATTGCAAAGAAATTACTTTATTTTCATATAAGTAATTTTAGTCATTGCTATTCTACGTTTTATTTCTATATCTGGATCTAGTTGGTTCCCAAATATGTCATTTTGTGAACTTTCTCATTTTGGACTCCGTTTATTTGAAGCTTTGCATTGGGACGTGGGTGACGAATAACCACTAAAAATTTGGTTTTTTTGAGTTTATTTTAATGCCCATTTCCTCTCCTACCTCGTGAATACGATCAAGCAGAATTTGGAGACCTTTAATATTATATGACACAATTACTGCATCGCCTGCGTATCTAATCACATTAAGTAGTTCCCCGTTGATTTTTATTGCATATGGTTGTCTCTCAAGTGCCTTTTTAAATAACTGGTCCGAGTAAACATTGAACAATGTTGGCGACAAAATGCAACCTTGTCTGACTCCTCGTTGTATAGAGATTTCATCGGTGTAGTTATCAAATTTTTAATGTCATGAATATCCTTGTCATCTATTCCGATATTTTTCAGTATTTGCATTAATTTTACATGCTCTACTTTATCGAATGCCTTTTCGAAGTCCACGAATTATGCAAATACATATTTTCTTTGGCCACGGCATTTTTATAATAGGATGTTAAGTGTAAAATGTGCCTTCCTGGTTCCCATAGCGTTTCTAAAACCAAATTGGGTATCTTCGAGATCTTCGCATTTGCGTCTAATCATCATCATTCTGTCTTTACAACCCTGCGTGGGTCCTAGCCTCCCCAAGATTTTTTTTCCAATCGTCCCTATCCATCGCCCTCCTTCGCCAAGCACGTATTTCCATATTTCTCATATCTTGATCTATGTTATCTAGGAATCTTATTCTGGGTCTTCCTCTTCTTCTTTGACCAATAGGTTTATCAAGGAGCGTTTTTCTAGCTGGGTCGGTTTGCTCCATCCGCATTACATGGCCTCCCAACCTCAGACGTCCTATCTTAATATGTTTTACGATATCTGGTTCCTGGTATATTCTATAGAGTTCGAAGTTGTATCGTCTTCTCCAGACACCATTTTCATTTACCGCTCCATAGATTCGTCTTAGTCTGCCTGCGTCTAATTCTATTGTGAAGTATTCGTAGGAAAATTTTCGTAGGACTGTGGCTCATTAGGCTAATGAATCGATATTCTGAGCATTTTCTCGCATTGCGTTTTTTAGGTATTGCGACAAAGATGGATGTGAGTCAATCTGTGGGAATCACTCCGGTGTTATATATTGAATTAAAAAGTCTTACTACTATTTTTATGTTATCTACTTCTATTAGTTTTTAGCAACTCAGTTGGTGTATCATCTGGACCACAAGCTTTTCTAATTTTAGCATTATTTATTGCGTGTTCTACCTCGCATTTCATAATTTCTGGTCCGTCAGTACAGTTTTGGTAGAATTCGGCTAGAGAATGGTAGAATATTATTCCTGTCATCTTCAAACAACTCTGATATATACAGCTGCCATTCTTTTCTTATTTCGTGCTTATTTAAAATAATATTGCGCCCACACCTTTATGCGCCCACACAATTTCGCGCCCGCACTATTTCGCGCCCACACCATTTTGCGCCCACACCATTTTACGCTCACACCATTTTGCGCCCACACCATTTTTCGCCCACATCATTTTGCACTAACACCATAATGCGCCCACACAATTTCGAGCCCACTTCATTACGTGCCCACACCATTACGCGCCCACACCATT